TTTTAATTTTTTTTTTTTTTTTTTTTTGGAACACTCATCATTCTAATGTTAAACTCATTTTTTACTATCAAATGTCATTTTCATGATCTTCAGTTATATGAGATACGAAAGTAATAATACTTATATAGTTAACCAAATCTCTTTCAAGGTAAGGTAGAATTTATTTGTAAAAGTTTAATTGATTTGTGTTATGTTTTGATAGTTGTATGTTTGGTTTTTCGTGTTCTCATAGAATATTGTATATATTAACATCGGTCTTATTATCGATAATGCATGGCAGAGAGATTATTGCATTAATCTTTTTAAAACATCACCAAAAACTGTAAGAAAACAAGAAAATGTACAAAAAGTTAAATCTTTTTGTCTGGCCTTTGTTGATTTAACTGGTTTTAAAAGAAAATTTGGAGACTAGAATATAGAATTTCGATAAGAAATGCTACATTCGAGTTTCCTGACATATAGGTAGGCTGTCGATGCTAGAGATTATAACATAATATTTTGTATTTATATCGTACTAAGCAATAATTCAAAGGTATAAAACTTTGAGAACTTAAAAAAAAAAAATATTTGACATGTCTTACCCTTTTCAATGGAAAATTAATCTTTATATATTTTAAAAATTTAAATACTATGAGAACTCTTAAAACACAAGTAAGAGTATATTTTCATAATTATATTTTTTTAAATAGCAATTCAGAACATATTATATTTTTTTTGGTAGGTTAACATAGAATACTCATTCTGGTAATCGAACTAGTTTAGAAAACTGATTCATTGTATTTTAATATGATCTATAAATGGTATAATATGTAATCAATACCTTATAATATATTCTAAGGGTTCTATAATTCGTTAGTCTATATCCTGAGTAGAACTCGTTGATAAAACTTTCTCGTGAATACATATTATAATTTTACAAAAGTCTACTTCATGTGTTAAGAAAAAAAGAGCTTATGCTTCCTATTTTCAACACCACTATCAGGAAGATTTTTTTTCCCTTTTTACATGTAGTAACATGTTTTCTTCTCATTATTATTCACATTCTAATTGCCTACATCTGTTTTGTCATTAAGGTCCAAATGAATATTTGGAATATCTTCAAACTCATATATATGGTCGTCGAAGTCATGATTTTTCCTTATCAATGCATTGAGTCGATCAACTTTACAATATGCACCTCATCATTTCTGAAGAAAAAATAAATGTTACACCACAAAATCTCCATGGTGAGGAGATGTATGGATAAATGATAACATACACAAGAAAGCTAAACGAAATTTAGATGGTTTGAACATATTTTAGAAAAGATAAGTAATGTTAAAATAACATTAAATGTAATTACCTCGGATCCATAAATGTTCTCCAACCGAGTGATCTCATCATATGACACATATGCAGCTTTCATCCCGTTGGCACATCTAGGAACTTTCTTTAAAGAATTATAAAATTTTCATCCCAATAGTGTTCCATCTTTGGTATTGCTTTCCATGCACTACTAATTTTTGGAAACATATGACTCTATTGTGAAATAAAATATATTTTACATGATACAAACCATGCATTACTATTTATTGCAAGGAAAATATATAACATTACAATATGTAAACTAAAAATATACCATATTTTATTCACAATTTTATAAAAATTAATATATAAATAATATAGATGTATTTGTATATTAATTTTAAGAAATACATTTACTTAAAACTATATTATATGTCATTAGGGCTGTGCACATAGATGAAAAAAAACGTTTAATTTTTTAATATTTTCAAAACAAATTAGTTCTTCAATTATTTACTTAAACACATTTGACTAATAGCAAAACAGATTGTAGAATACAAATGGCTATATGACAAAAAAACTTAATAAATTTTAGATTTTAAAAATTGTCTAATTTTTTTTTTTTGAACACATGTCTAATTTAAAACATAAGTTTTTATAAAGGTGTTAAAAATGGAAGCTAATAAGGAGTAAAGTGACTTTTGAAGTACAACTCAGTTGAAAATGTATATTTATGAGCTTTGTAGCCTTTAATATTACAAACAAATTTTAGATTTCAAATTGCATACCATTATGAATATAAACTTCATAAATATATAATCTTCTGTTTTTAATACATGACATTTTAGAGAAACTATTGTTTTTCGAATTATTTGACCTTTTCAACTTTCTATGTAAAATTTATTAATAGTTAATGTTATATACCAATGATATTATGTATTCTATTTGTTTTTCGTTGAATTGTGGCTCGGTTGATAATTAATGATGTTTTTATTTAGAACATGTAAGAAATTCAATGTTTTCTTAATTTATATGCATAATCATAAACATCATATTATATATTCAAAACGAAGGAGATAATAAAATATAGGAAAATAAATTAGACCACATTAGTAAAATAAATATTTTGTACTGGAATTAAATTATTACCTTAATTAGTAACACTTTACGACTTCATATAATTAGAAATTAACATTTCTAACATTTTGAAAAAATACATTAACTAGGTACCTTCACTAAGTACAATAATAAAAGTTTAATATTTCAAATTAGAAGATCATGAAAAAACTGAATGGCCTTTGCAAGCCATTTGCTTTAAGGAAAAAGTAAAAAAAAAATATTTAGCCAATTATGGGGTGATTAGTTGAACTGTAACTATAGAAACTTTACTCTAGAATTTAGTCTCTCAAAGTTTTTGATGTAGTTGTATCTAAGATAGATGTAAAAATTAAATGAGAAAAAGATATTTTTACAACAATCCTACATCAATATTTTTTATTTAGAAAATAAGGTTTTTACAACCAGTTGTTTTGGCTTTAGATTTAAAAACCACTTAAACCATAATTGATGATTTATATGTTTAGAAATAGAAAATAAAATTAAAGGCATTAGTTATAGCTCAACCAAACACCCTTCATGTAAAATTATAAGTTTTCGGTTATAGACACTTAGCTTGAGAATCCAAAACTTGATCAAATAAATCTACTAGAAGTAAGAAGATCCCCCTTGTGAAATAACATAAATTATGTAGATGGCTTATGAGTTGAAAAATCCATGAAGAGATTTTAGCATGAGTTTCTTAAGTTTTTGAATTTTTTTTACTAAATAATAATAAATGTCTGAGATATTCGTTTTAATAAACTTTCAATAATGAAATCAATTTAATTTAAGAGAGATTAATGTTAAAAACCCATCAATAAAGAACATTTGGTAAGTATAGATATTGAATATTGCCATTGACTACTCATTTGTACTTTGTTCTTTGCCTCTCGAGTTTTATCCCATAAACTTCTTTTCATACTTCTGATTTACATTGTCTTCCTAATTGTTTACATACTAATTGTGTAACGCCCCGACAATTTACAGCTAAAGGGCCTCTCACATATGTTGACTCAACAATGCATAAACGTCGGTCATGTAAACATGATTTTTCTATACTCTCTTAA